GTTCAGGACATGAGGGCTTCAGGGACCCAGATCCTTGAGTCCAGATTTGCCTTCAGCGACTGTGTGACTTTGAACAAGTCATTTAACCTTGCTAGGATTCTTCATTGCAGCTCTTCCAATAAAATATACTATCAAAATGCAAATTATTATTATATTACCCTACAAAAAATTAAAACAATGCAAATAGAATCATTTAAGTTAATCATTTTGTCTACCTCTTTGCCTAACCATGAAGGATCCCTGTGGTACATTCTAGTGAGGTTTGTTCAGTACAGGTTGAAATGACCTCATCAAAGTGATTTTTATCATTTGTTTTGAGAGGTGGTATCATTAATCTTTTATGCAACCCCCTCCTTTTTGGGCTCACTTCAGTTAAATAGGCAGGGAGAAGAGAATGTTGAACAACATTATAAAAATGTTAATTCCTAATGTCACTGACTAGCTCTTAATCACGCTATTAGACATATGTTCTGATTTAATGATCCTAATCAGCATGCAGTCAGACCAAGATTGACTTTGATGAATGTCTAACATTATTTTGTGATATGGAAGAGGTTGTTTTTATTGTTGTCTAAATCTTTCCTTAGAAATTACATTCTATTTAGAAAGAAAGAGAATGTAAAATACTTTCTTTGGTTTCCAGAATCTTCTTTCCTAAACCAGCATCTTGATGATTTGTGTTTTGATCATAGAATGAAACATTTGGGTGCAGTCATCTGTAATTATTTGTCCTTACAACTTTGGTGGCTCCTTCCTCTTATTTTTAAGCTCAAAATACTTAACTACAGTCAATGAGATAAGATATCTTTAGAATGTGCAAAAATCTTATTATTTCAAACCATTGCTTCCTAACGATGCTGTAGTGAAAATCGGATCCCTTTTCCTTGTGCCTCTTACTTGCACCCTTTTCCCTGGTGGCACCATTTGCTGAAGTCCTTCTCAACACAAAGCCTCCAGTCAAATGTCACCATTTCCATGAAATTAAAATCATTTCCATAAACTATTTCTCAGGAATCTTGGACAAAATTCATAGCTTCTTCTTCTGGACTTTCCTAGCATTTTATTCACTTCTATATTTTGACCCTAATCTCATTCTGACTTACATTTCTTTTAGCTGTGTGTATGTCCTTCTTCCTTAAATGTTATGAACTCCCTTGGGGCAGTGATAGTCTATTAAAATTTGTATAGCTAGGATATCTCCCTGTGACCTTCACACAGCATAGAATCAAGCAATAATTGAATGGAATGATTATATATATGTATATATATAATATATACACTCATAATTATTTCATTTAATCACAGTTTTATAAATCATACATATACATATATGTATGCATGTATAGGTTTTATAAATCCTATATATACATATGTGTGTATGTATGTATGTGTGTGTGTGTGTGTATATATATATATATATATATATATATGGCTTTGAATCTTGCGTCACCTAGATGTGGAGGCTGTGACAGGTCACAGTCAATGATCAGCCATGGGAATAGTTTCTCCAAAGTTCTATGCAGAATTTCTAAAGGAATACGTGGGTGGGAGCACTGAGCCAGGAAGAGCTAAGCCAGGACTGTGAGTACTGGGGAAACTGCTCTCTAAATTTCAGGAAGATCCAAGCACCATATCTGAAGGGGACAAAGGTGGTGTGAGAGTCCGGGTTACCCTGCCAATAATTGGGACTTGAGTTGGGACAGACTCAGAGTGAACACAGATTGCGTTCAAGTAAAGGGATATGCAGGAGTAATGAAGGGTCTTCCTAAGGGACTGCTAAAATGTCGGCTCTAACTGCTTACATTTATGGGCCAAAAGATAGATAATTAGTTGAGCCAAACAGAATTGGTGTTTCTCTTTATTTTCCTCATTCACTGATGTCTCTTTATTTATGTTTCCAACCAAACTGCAGTTGAAAGCAGGACTGTCCTTAATCACCGTGTTTTACTTCCTTAGAATCCCTACAGAATTTTTGTATGTGGTTGATATTTGCTTTGTGTTTTATCAGCGATTGCCACAATAATGCTATACTGCCAGCTGCCACGGCTCAGCGGCATACAGTGTTCAGGACTTTTTCTCATGCTCACAGGTCTGAGCGTCAGGCAGGATGGCTGTGCTCCGTGTGCCACATCCTGAGGTCCACCAGGAGAGGCTGTGACCATCTGGATTGTGTTCTCCCGTGGTGTCAGAGGTGCTCCCAGGAGCAGTGGAAACATGCATGCCTCTTAAGCTCTAGACTGAGCTGACATGCCATCATTTCAGTCCGTGTTCCAGCAGGGAAAGCAAGCAGCAAGACAAAGACATCAGTGGGGCGGGGATATTTACTACTCGCGTGAGCCCATTATAACACATGCAGGAAATCCAATTTCTCCAGTGGCCAAAATTTGGAGAAAGGGTGCCGATTCTCTTCCTGACTACATCATTAGAGTCATGAATGAAAACAAATCAGTCACCCTTTTTGATTGTCAGTTTCTTCATTTGTTATGTTCCAGCTCATACTCTGTGGGGGAATAATCACAAACCTGGGACATCTAAGAGGAAAATTCTGCTGTAACCCTCCTGCTCTCAAATATATGTGTGTGTTTCTTCTTTATTCCCTATATTTCCTTTTCTTTCTTCTTGCTCATTGATATTCAATCAGTCAAAACAGTTTGCAACTTTTATACTAATTGTCAGACATGAGGAGGGGATCCCAAGCCTCAGTGACACAAGGCACTGGTAGATTTGAAAGAAAACAAAGTGTTGAGCGGCTAGGGGCACTTCTAGGGATTTAAGGCACCAAGTAAGAATTGGTAAAACTACTAGAAGGCAACATTTGCACCAGAGTGTACACAAATTGGTTTTTCAGAATTTGAGACCATTGATAATAATGCTATTAATAAGATCACAACTTTGATTCTGCTTATAAACAAAAATAATTCATGATGACATTGAATTTCACCATGTGATCAGGATTCTTGATTATGGAGGAGAGGTCTGGGAAGTGCCAGGAGGGAGAAGTGGAGAGATTTCTTCCCATATCTTGTGCCCAAAGCCAACATTAGCAAACATCTGAACACACTATGTTTTACCCTTGTGTTACCTGGACTCACACACTGGGACGATCCACCTAAGCTTACCTCAGTCCTGAAAGTGCTTTTTGTTCTAAGTAAACCCACCAGACCTCTACGCCACTTGAGCATGGCTTATCTGAACTAGTGGTTAGAAAGAAAGCAATTCATTTGAACTAGTATCCAATGATTTATAGCTGTTTGGAAATAGGTTAAATGGATTTGTACCGTTTAGAATTATTCTTTAAAAAGAAGATACAGTTAACAGACATCTCTAACTGGGATTCTAACTTAAAAGCTAACAAAGGGACTTGAAACATTTTAGACAGTGTGAAGAGTAGTATTTTGGGGTGAGTATAGTCCTTCAGGCTGTCTGCCCCCTGACTCAGCACCCCTAAGATACTTTTGTGTTTCTTAGTATTTGTTTTATCTTCTTCTCATTACTTACAGGTTCTTGGAAAACCCAGATTGTCATTCTCTTCCTACTTGCCTCAGTGACTTCCATAAGGATGTTAGTAATGAATGCAATTCAGAGAAAGTTGTTGCTATTTGTATACATGAATAATTTGTAAATTATATGTTTGTACATCAGGAGTTGTATATGAAATCAAATCTTGACTACGAAGAATACCAACCTAGTGCCATCCTCAGACAAAAGTTACTATTCTATTTTAAAATGATAAATCATGAAAAATGGCTCTCAATAACTATTTCTTTCATTTTTAAAAATTAAACACATATTAAGTGCCTGTTGTATGCCAAACAGAAACAGACCAGTGGTTTCCAAAGAGGAACTAGGCCAAACCCCATTCAGCCTGAGGGTGTATAACACCTCTATCTCTGCCTACATCTGTTGTTTTGGATATCTTATCATCTTCTGGATAATAATTTTTATCTACTTAAATATTCCCAATTATACAAGATAACTTCAACAGATTTTACTAAACTAAACTTTGCAAAGAAAAAAAAATTGAAAATTGACAAGGACAAGACTCAAAAATAGTTTTCTGTTAACTACATAAACCAGAGATTAGAGGTTGCATCCTAGCTTTGTATGGGTTAAATATGACATACAGAGGGATTTCATTGGCCTATGCAGTATTGACCTTCATAATATTTCTTTTGTCCAAATTTTTGAACTTCAAATATTGTGACTTCTCTTTAAAAAATTCAAAAGATATGGTAACCCTGGCGTTAATCTTTGTCATGACAAAAATCAGTGTGAGGTAAGACAGGGCCACCCTGTCCTCTGAGCCAACACTCTCCCCCTCAACTTCGTGTCCACCCCTCCCCACAGTCTACCAGAAACTGAGGACTAAGGTCGGACTAATATTGGCCCTCATGCTACTATTTATCCTTTTGTAGTTTTAAAAGGAAATTAATTTTTGTATCTATATATTCAATATTTTTGGTCTAAGGTCTAGCCCAGTTTACTCAATTGTGATGCCTGCCTGATTTGGTTAGCATTTGAGCTTGTGACCCTGAGTCTAAACATTGTGATTAATAAATATCCTATTATAGAAATGCTTTTCATGAAAGTGTTGTTTATATGAGCACATGTATATAGATATCTATTTATGTGTGTGTGTATATATATATATATATAGAGAGAGAGAGAGAAATAAAAGGAAGGAAGGAAGAAAGAAAAAGAAAGAAGGAAAAAGAAAGGAAGGAAGGAAGGAAGAAAGAAAGAAAAAAGGAAAGAAAGAAAGGAGAGATAACAGAAGCGAAGGAGAAAGAACAGAAGGGAAAAGAGGAAGGAAAGAAGGGAGGGAGGGAGGGATATATATACATTGTACGTATGTATGCACATATGTATATATATATATGTGCATACATACGTACAATGTATATATATCCTTCGAGACATTTTCATCTCAGTTTCTGTGACATCCTCTGTGCTATTTCAGGCTTGCTCCACTCTGACTTGTGAAGCATCTTGTCTTTCAGATGGAACCCCATTGACCTGGTGGATCGGACGGTCCAATGAAAGACACCCCTACTGGGGAGGCGCCCCTCCCGGAGTTCAACAGTGTGACTGTGGCCTAGACGAGAGCTGCCTGGACATTCGACACTTTTGCAATTGTGACGCTGACAAGGACGAATGGTAATGGGCGTCCTGAACCCTCTGCACTCGTGGAGGATGCCCACGAAGGGATGCATAAAATGTCCCCTAAGATAAAAGAGAATGGATGAGAGATTCAATATGAACTAGGGCTCCTGAATAACAGTGATTGCTTTAACTTTGGAAATTTCTAGTCCTCGTACTTTCAGGGCTATTGCTGAAGTTTGTAACACAAAGCATGTTGCCACACCATCACCCCTTTATATTCTGAACATTCCATTTTCAACAGGAGAATGAAATGTAATATTTAGCTTTGTGATTTAGTCAGCATTTCTGTAATGTGTAGAATATAGGCTTTGGGAGAAGATGTGGGAGATAGGGATGTGTAATTATACAGACTGTTTCTTTATTCTCCCATTGTCCCACTGATGATCCAGTCACTGGCCTGCCCTATTATTGCCACTAAAAATAGAGAAAAGAAAATTTCTATTTATTAAACACCTATTTAATCCTCATAACAATCTATTAATTCTTTTTTTGTATTATTTTTTATTGAAGCATAGTTGATTTACAATATGTTAGTTTCAGGTGTATAGCACAGTGATATATATATTCAGTTTCTTTTCCCTTATAGATTATTACAAGATATTGAGCATGTATCTTGTAATAATCTATAAGCATATATCTTGTGATGATCATATATTTCCTGTGTTATACAGTAGGTCCTTTTTTATGATTTTTTAAAAATTTTGTATTGGAGTATACTTGTTTACAATGTTGTGTTACTTTCAGGTGTACAGCAAAGTGATGCAGTTATACATATACATATATCTATTGTTTTTCAGGTTCTTTTCCCATTTAGGTTATTATAGAATATTGAGTAGAGTTCCCTGTGCTATACAATAGGTCCTAGCTGATTGTCTATTTTATATACAGTAGTGTGCATATGTTAATTTGAACTCTCCTAATTTATCTCCAACCTCCTAATTTATCCCTCCCCTCCCCTTTCTCCTTTGGTAAACATAAACTTGACAGAGAAAACAAACCTATTAATCTTTCATAATTTTCTCACTTTTGCATCTTAAGGTAGAGGAATGTAGATTACAGAGAGGTTAAGTACTTTTCTCAAGGTCGCACAGGTCTATTAAGAGGCATATCCAGAATTTGAATTCAGGTATAGCTGAGACCAGACTCTCCCTTCCTCCCCCACAGCAAGTTACTTTTGTAGATAAAGTTTAGTTTTAGTTCTCATGGCCATCACATGTAGTTTTCCTTTGCCCTCCAGGTCAACTGCTTATTTTTTTTACTGTACTGATTATGAAACTATGCACAGAACATTTCCAAACCCACTTTGGTTTTGACTGAATTTAAGACATTCTTTGGTTTTGGCTTTATAATTGTACTTGCTTCATCAAATGCTGCTCAAGTATAGTTAAGAATTCCTATGTCAACCTGCTCTCAACCTAGTGCAAATGGCTTTTAAGTACTTTCCCTTCACTGTTTAGATTGATAACAGCAGGAATGTTTCAAATAAAATTTTAGGTCCACTTGAAACCTCAGTTCAGTGAGGAAAAGACCAAGAATGTGGTTCCATCAGGTTACACTAGATGGACCACAGCTTCAGAATGTTGTAGGGCTGCTTGGCCCACAAGTCATGTGACCTGAGTCTGGTCTCAGAGAGACAGCAGTGAGCAGTCTTGAAGCAGGATCTTAGTTCCCTGCCTAGGAACTGAACCTGAGTAGCCTGGATGAAAACTAGGAATCCTAGCCACCAGTCCACCAGGAGGTAGAGACTGGGAATAAAATTGCCCTGGCTCTTTCCCTCATTTGAAAGCAAGACTGTTTCAAGGAGGCAAAAACTGCAGAAACAGGTACAAAGTTTATTCTTAGAAACACAGCACAACATGTGGGAGAGCACACAGGGAAGCAGTTTATTTAGACAGAAGCAAAACAGGAATACACACCCCGGGAGAAAGGGTGTGGGCGTTCTCTCTAATGAGGAGGACCACAGTAACAACGTGCTTAAGTCATTTATGTAGAGGCAGTTTTTCCGGGTCTTTGTTCTCCTCTGGCCAATTATTTTGCTTCTTTTCCCACATCTGACCTGTCTTAAGGCCCGTCCCAATATGCGTGCACATCTTTTTGCCAAGATGGATTCCAGCATGGAGGCCTTTGGGAGCTTTGACAACACTTGCTATGGGATGGCGCCCCCTCCCTTTTTGACCCCAGAGGAGCCTCCCTGCACATGTGCTGTCAGGGAGGTCTCCTTGACCTCAGGAGTGATAGATGTGGCCCTCCTATCTCTTTACTCCAGCAGAGCTCAGCTCCTGTCATTAACTTTGTCCTTGGAGTGTTAGGGAAAACAGAGCCCCAATTTACTCTGTTTGACAAACTTCCCAACTGCTCAGCCCAGGGGCCCAGCTATCTTCTACCTCAGGTCCTTTCTCCTAACATCGCAATCTTCACAGCAGTCAAATCAGATGCAGTTGACTGGACTTCTCCATTCTGTATGCTCCCGCTCTACCCTGCAGAGCCCTCTATCACATCTTGGAGGCCTACAAACCAAAAATAACTCTTGTTCTGTTTGGAGACTGTGTCTTTTTTAACATTATATCCCTGAAGACCTACTCTTTGTAGAGTAGAAGATGATGGTAGTTAGCTGAATAGATGAATGTAGAAGACCTTTGAGGAGGAGGAAGGATCCCAAAATGGCACCTACAAGCTTGAGAGATGTGTGGAAAGGCTAAATGGTTGTGTGGCCAGGAAAACATAGTCAAAATCCTCTGCAGCCAGCAGCTTAGATTTGCTCAGTTTATTTTGATTTTTTTAATTTCCCTTCACTATGCTGACACTAGAAATGTATAGATTTATAGACTTACATGGAAACATGTTCATTTTATTCTGTATCATCAGAGAAGTTGGTAAGGGGGGTAGAATATAAAGAGTTATTGAGAAGGGGAAGTATTTCTCCTAAGTGCCTTCAATTCTCACTCTCTTGTTGGCTGAATTCTTGATCTTTGCTCACTGTTTCCTTTCCTTTGATGAAACTCTTTCCATACCTAATTATGCCTCAGTGCCTTCCCTTCCTAGAGTTCAAATGACCATGCCTGGGCTTAATTTAAGGAACACTGAGGAGCAGGGCTGGAGAATCACATCACATCACTTAAAAGTGGAAAATTAGACCATCATATTGAAATGCCACTACTCTCTCTTCTCCAAGACTTCCCACTGATCGTCTCTTCTACTCTGATTCCAGCCTCTCCCTCCTTTGACCTTCTTACTCGTTCCCTAACTTTTGAACCCCTCCTATTGACTTCATCATTGAGGTTGTGCTCAGAGAAACTTTTCCTCAACTCTGGTGCTGTCATACCTCTTCCAACATGGGTTATTGCATATTTCATAAGCCTTTCCCCTTCCTTTAGAGACAGGGGAAAAGCCTCATCATGTACCACTTTCTGTGGCCAGCAACCCTTTTATTTAATTTTAGATGTAGGTTTTGTTCAACAATCAACCTACGAAGGATCAAGAGAAATGATCTGAACTTCCCTTTGTAAAGATGCCCACTTTACCATGGCTGTTGAATATCTCATATATATATATATATATATATATATATATATATATATATATTTTATACAGGGTATAGTGTATAAAATACTAAGAACATTTCAGTGTATGATTGTTAAGTGACAATGTTTCCTAGGAGTTGCAATATAGTAAACTGCTATCTACTAAATACTATACAAGCCTAAAATCAGCTTTCTGATTCACTTTACCAATCCAGGTGAGATCAGGAATTTCCTTTTATCATTCTCATGAGGGAGCAGCTTCAGATTTAACTCTTCTAGATTTCACTGTTTTAGGACAAGTCATAACCTGTCATAAACGATTCTGGAAAATAACTTATTATAGAGGCAACTGTACGTACTATTCCAGCTGACATTTACTCATATATCACATGTCTAATGAGTGCCTACTCTGTGCAGTCAGGCAGTCTGCTGTGCAGAGAAAGTCAAGGGCATTACAATCCCTGCCCTTGAGGAACTCGCAGGACAGTGGAAAAGAAAAGGCTAGTTATTTAGCAGTAAATGTAACAGTGTGATGACTTCAGTTATAGACAGAAGCACACATGTGCTTCTGTGTCAACCTGGGGTGCCAATGGGTGGGGATAGTTCGATTTCAAGGAAAAGTGTAGTTAACTTCTGAAGGATCAGAAGAAGTGAGCTAAAGTTATTGTAGTACAGGTAGGTGCTGCCATGTATTCAGACACGGAAATGTGAAATAATATAAAAATCACTACTTCCCCAAAATATAAGTATCTTGGTATGGTTTCTGCATGGTTTTCATGTGGGGAACTTATAGGAGATGTAGGCAGGGAAGAAGGTCAAATCCAGATCACGAAGCTTCTTGTATGTGAAATAACAATGAGAGAGCTTTGCTTTGTCTGTAACAGGGGTTGTGGACATAGAACATACATTCAGAGTGAAACACAGCAGAGCCTTGTGGAAATGCATTCATTATTTAAATATCCAATTCTATTATTTACTACAGAAAGGTAAAGCACAAAAGCTGGCACTACTATGAAATGGTCATGTTCTTTAACATTCTTTCAACCTGATTCTTAGATAACATGTGGTCCAGCTGGCTTTCCATACATTTCAAACTTTTGTTTCAGACAAACATGCCCCTTTTGGTGTCCGGGTGCTTCTAAGAAAGTTCAACATATTTACCTTATAAACTTCCCTTAAGTTTCTGCTCTTGGTAAAGTTAGTCAGAATACTGATGTGGGCTGGTATAAACAAACTCATGGTCACCAAAGGGGAAAGGTGGTGGGCAGGAATAAATTGGGAGTCTGGGATTAACATATACACACTACTATACATAAAATAGATAATCAACAAGGACCTACTGTATAGTACAGGGAACTCTACTCGATACTCTGTAATAACCTATAATGGAAAAGAATCTAAAGAAGTATATATATATACTCATATATATATCTGAATCACTTTGCTTTACAACTAAAACTAACACAACATTGT